CCAGAACCCAGGACGGTGCTTTAGTGCTTCAGCGCGTCCCAGGTAGCACGGGGAACGTCGCTTGTCTGAAATTTCAGTTGACCTGGGCGCCCTACGTTTCTGTGTGCCAAATCTGGCAACCCTAGCACCCGGAGACGTCTCCTGATGAGAGCCAGTTGTTGGCTACTGTGTCCTCTTAACTGGCGCAGGTCTCAGCTCAGCTCAAAAAAATGTGAATTTGGCCGGGGGGCAGGGGACAGTGCTCCTTAACATTTTGTTTTAGGCTTATGAGAAGGAAAGAAAGAGGAAGGAAGGATGGAGGAAGGGAGGGCAGGAGGGGAATGTGGGTGTGAAGGAGGAGGGAAAGAAAAAGATAAGATTTCTCAGAACATCTCCTGTTATAAACAACAACACAGGAACATAAATAAAATAGACAAACAAGCTTATACTGTAGGGCACAGGGAACTATATTCAGTATCTTACAGTAGCTCATGGTGAAAAAGAACATGAAAATGAGCATACGTATGTTCACATGTGACTGAAGCATGTGCTGTGCACCAGAAATTGACACAACATTGCAAACTGACTACATTTCAATTAAAAAAATTCTTTTTAATAAAAGTAAAGGACTTGGGGGAAAAAAGTAATTTAGCTTAGAACTAAAGTAAACACCAAGACCTCACACAGGACGTTTATCTAGAACAGCAACCTGCTAAGTATGGCGCTGGGACAATTCAATTTGAATCTGCACCTGTTTTGTTAACTAAGTTAGACCGTTAATGCTCCTCAAATATTATCCCAACCCAGCAGACCTGCAAGAATTCGATTACAGGACGCCCGCTAAACTACATGCTGCTGAACTCAGTCTTCATCCTTCCACAACGCAGCCTGCGAGGCCCCAGCCAGCTGGGGACCTGAAGCATCTACACCTTCGGCGTTTTTATGGGCAAACTAATCCAAGGTTTGGTTTTTTAAAATATTTACCCGGGGTTGTCTCTCCAGATCCGCACACAGTCACATTTCTCACTAGCTTGAGAAGCCACTGCGCCTCCCCAGGCCTCGGCTGCTGGCTCCAGGCGATGAGACCTGGGCCTCGGGGTCCCGACAGACCTCTCACCCTCATATTTGACGATTCTCTGAGTCAGGCTCCAAATGGGTGACTTGTAGGTGGTAGTAGATTTAAACATTGCTTTTCCCTGTTGAACGGTGGTCAAAGAACACAAACACTTGCTTCGTTCTTGCTGAAGCTCAGGCACAGCAGACACGGCATCCAGACGCCGGACGGAAAACTGACACCCGGAGTAAACATTCGGGCAGAGGGTGCAACTGGGGGTGCGGGGGCGGCAACGGTAAAATCACGCTGTCCTATTCCTGTTTACTTCGGACGCATTGTATTTACCTGCAAACACCAGGAGATATTCCAGTGGGAACGGAGCTCCAGGGAGATAGAGCTTCACGGGGGACTGACTTCACATCACGGTGATTTTACTGTAAAAATCCCTTTCTTTGTCATCCCGACTTCTCAGCCTGTAAACCGCCAAGAGTGGAGAGGAGCGACTGTATCAAGTTCCCAGGACACCCCTGCATGGCGGGGACATCTGCTGACCCCGGGGGCCACACACAGGAAAAGACGTCATTCCGCCTTCCGCAAGCGGGGAAGACGTGGACACGGCCAAGCTGAACCCACCTCAGTGGTTTCATAGCAGCCGGCGATGGAAAGCCTTTGGGGTGGGAGGGTGAGGGGAGCCCCACATCCTTGGAGGAGCCACAGAGGGGCAGGGGAGCCCCGAAGGCTCAGGACATCAAAGCTGAACTGACATTGTCACGGTGTCACAGGCCATGGACGGCGGGCCACGGTGCCCTGTCCAGGGTGAGAGCGTTTTAAAATGTAGGGCAGTGGAGGGAGAGGGTGTAGCTCAGCATGCACGAGGTCCCAGATTCAATCCTCAGTCCCTCCATTAAAATAAATAAATATACATAAATAAACCTCATTACCCTCCCAGTGGAATAAAGTAATTTTTAAAAATTAAAATTAAATTTAAAATATAGGGCATTAATAGAAGCTTGAGGTGCATTAGTCTGTCAGGTCAGGAGATGAGCCACTGAAAGGGCGGTGTGCTCGGGGTCCCTGGGGCGGGAGGCCACAGGGGAAGCAGCGGGGTCAGCCGGGAGGCAGGTGGACAGAGGACCAGGGTCAGAAGCCTCCCTGTGGCCTCCTTGGCGGGAACTCGGCGGGACACACACGGGCCCCGGGACTCCAGCAGCTCTGGGCGTCCGGTCCTGGCCCTCCGGTGACGAGGGCTCGGGGCTGCGGGGTCTTTGGGCCACTGCACGCCCATCATCTGGGGTTTTTCGGAGGAGGAAATGAAGGCAGCAGGAAGGTGCGGGCGTGCTGGCCGTCCCTGGGTCCAGTGGGGTCCCGCTCGGCCGCAGCTCCCCATCCTCCAGGCCTCCCCACCATGCTCCCGGGGCCCCGGAACATTCCACCTCTGACTCGGACGCACCAGCCTCCGAACTGTTCGTGAGCTGGCTGCGCAGACGCCGGAGGACACCAGGGCAGGTGTCCCCACCCCCATCACCTGCACCTCCCAGGAAGGAGGGGACTCAGGGAGACGCGGCGGTGCTGGTCAGCTCAGCCAGACACATTCCCTTATGCCGACCAAATGCTCCCAAATTAGCACGTAGCCCACAGGTTTGACTTCAGAGCCATTAGGAAGGCCTCGCGCACATCAGTCAAGCCAGACAGCGTTTACCTGAAGACTTGAAGTACAATTCAAGTAGCTCTTCTTTTCTTTTTCTTTATTTTTTTCAGCCTTTTCTTGGTTGTGGGTGGGGGTGGTAATTAGGTTTATCTGTTTTCTTAACGGAGGTGCTGGGGATGGAACCCAGGACCTCGTGCCTGCTGAGCACACGCTCTACCCCTGTGCTCCACCCTCCCCTCCTTTTTAAAAATCTTTCTTTACTTATTCAAGTCATTTTTAGATCTGGCCAGATATCTGAATGTTAGACGTTGCCTAGGTAAGCATTGCCCGATCAGAACACCCCACGTTCCGTTACGATCCCGGCCTCACGAATCACAGGTGGCATGCCCGTATGGGCGTGGGCACAGCGGGAGGAAGCCGCAGCACCGGAGCCGTCAGGTGCACCACCACCGCGCAGAATCCGCCGGCGTGAGAACCGCTGTCCCTCCAAACCAGTGACCTGCGTCACTTGGAGACCCACCAGCAGCACAGGACTGACACAACCACGTTTGCACGTTTTCACACTTAGGAAGCTCTTTCTTTTTTTTAATTTCCTCTCAGTGGAAAGACTAAATATATATAACTAATGATGGTGTATGTAGAGTTGCAACACTGGACTAGAATACCTGTGTTTACCGGCTTTCGCACTGGGGTCTTTAGTTTGCAGTGAGAAGAGCTTTCACAAGACGTTCTGTGGCCGAAGCTGTCCTCCCAGAATCTTTTCAGAGCGAAGACCCTGCCAGGCGAGCAGCTGTGAGGCGCATGCTTAGAGGGGTGCAGGTACTTGGGGGAGAAAACGTGGGAACCATTTCCAAAGCCCTTCTGAAGGGTCGTCCGCATGAAAGCAATAAACCATGAATGCCTACCAAGGCGGATGTCAGGCAGCAAAAGCGAGGCTGCTCGGGTAAGACATGGGGCACCGTGTCCCTGAGACCCAGGGCAACACGTGGACAAGCATCCTTCACACGGAGAGACGGACAGACGATGGGGGCCCCCACGGTCCGGATCAGAGGCCCAGGGAGCGACGCCCCCCCAACACGCTGCCTCCTCTGTCGCCATCAGCTGAGAACTTCCAGGCAAAACTTGCACTGCGACGTCAGGGCTGCCCTCTCCCCGACGAGCACAGACCAGCTTCAGGAGGTAACTGGGGTCTCCGCCTGAGTCCGCCCAAGCTCTGTTTGTTAAAGATTACAAGCTGTCGTCTCCCCTCTGCTGTCTGGGCTCACACTACACCGTAACAGTCAACGACAGACCCCCCCCCACCTCAGCAGGCCCGTCCGACACCCTCCGGACAAGGGGAGGACTCACGTCCACGCCCGTGAGGCCTGGCGTGCGGGGAACACGCTGTGTGCAGTCAAGGGGAAGGAATGATCTTAGAAAAGTTCTGATTTGTGTTGCTTCCACCCAAGAAAGGTGGGAAATGGGTGTGTGTTTAACGTGGAGGAGTTAGGCTCCGAGGCCACTCCTCCTGGTCTCCTTTTCAAAGCACGAGGAAGCCAGCAGAAAGGAGGGTCTGAAATAGTAGCAGTAACCACAGACCCGTCCTTCCTCGTGGCCAACGCTTGCTTGAGTTCAGCTGGGCATTTTTTTTCTTTTTTTGATATAAGAAAAATATTCAAGCAGAAATAGACTCCAAAATAGTAAACTCCTTTTACTCAGAAGTGGGCGTCTCCGGCATCTCTTCGGTGTGAACTGTTGCATTCTTTATTTGCTCCTGCGGACATGTTGCCACATCCAATTCGAACAGAAAGGTTTGGAAAGAGAAACTCGGTAATTCACCTGTCGTGCAAAAGTTGTGACGTATCAAGGTGTGTAAGGGCTTTGCCGTGGGCGGCAAGGTAGAAAGTTATTTCATCTCATTGCCGGGAGGTGGAGGGTAGAACACGCCGAGAAAATGTTCTGCAAAGTTCTCCCTTTGAGTTTCTGCTCTGCTCCTTCGTTGTCTCCTAAATACTGGTCCTGAGAGGATTGTGACGCCTAATTTTGAAAGCCAGAGGGAGAGACTATTTCCCCCTTTGAAAACCAGGCGCTGGAGGAACCAGAGGAATTCGGTCGATCCCACTGGAAGCATCTCCTGGTTGAGTCATTTCTCTTCTAACCTCAAGGCACCTCTTGCTCCTTTAAACACTTTCTGAAATCTTCCCCTCCTTAGAAAGTGAGCGAACTCACACACTCACTCGCACACTCACACACACACACGCACACTAACATGCTCACACACACGTCATTATTCTCGTACCTTCATCGTGCTTTCTTCTGCAAGTTAAGCCTCCGCATTTAGGGTCGTTGTGTCCAGTTGTGCAGGTTGTGCACTGTTACAGTGCAGAGTGTCTGGCTGAGGCTGGAGCGAGCGCTGAAACGCAAGCTTGCACGCTGGGGCAGGGCAGGGTCTGCCTTGAAGGGCACACACCCTTGTTTGCAGATAATGCTTGTCAGGAGTGGGGATGCTGTGTATAATCGCTCAAGAAGCCGAGTGGATTCGTGGGGCCCCCCCACAGGCCACATGAATCTCTGGGGGTGCTTTAGATCGAGAGTTGAAGAAGACGGACACATCCCACCCTTGCATGATGCCGTGCTGTGTGGGTCATGACGGGAAGCATTCTGGAAATAACACAAGCCACAGACGTTAGATCTGACGAGGCTGAGTCCAGAATCTTCCTTCCTGCCCCACATGGGTGAGAGGTGGATGTGCGTCCAAGACTGGGAGTCTGAGAGGAGCGGGAGGGGTGAGGGGCCGGCCCATGGCGGGGGGTCTCCGGGGGTTAGGAGCTGCGCTCAGCGGGCGCCTGCGGTTCTGCCCCTCGTCCTGTGGGAGCCCGTGATGTCTGCTGGGTGCGTTCTGCTAGCGCTGGTGAGGCGTCCTCGGCCCTCCTACCTGCTGCCTAGCCCTTTTTCCCTGGTACGGAGGCCTCTGCCCAGTGACAACCGGGGAGCCACCACGGCGACACCCAGCTAGGGACCGTCTCACGCAGCCCCTGGCCCCGAGGAGTAGCACTCATCTGCAGCGACCTCCGATCAGGAGGCACCCTCGCCCCGCGCCCTGGAAAGCCTCTGCCAGGTGTGGCCCAGCAGGAGCGCTCCGTCGTGAAGTCAACCCTGGCAAAACGCTTGCTGGGCACCAGGCCTTCAGGGGGTAGCTTACCTGCATTATCTGTCACCACAGCCCTCTGGGAGGCCACCTCACATCTCTCTACCTATGAAAGAGAGAAAAAACAAAAGCTCCCCCCATGCCAGAGTGAGAAACTGGCATCCAGACCCTCCGCAGGGCGCCTGGGGCACCGCTGGTTCCTCCGTGGTGGCAGCACCCTCTGCAAAGAAGTCAGCACAGAAGCGGGCATCTGGGCCGCGTGTGCACAGCAGGGAGAAGTTGCTCAACCCTGGAACAGTTCGGTTGAAACGATTTTTTTCATATTCGGTCTCTGTGGCCAAGTCCTCCTTGCTGGGTTAACTTTCGAAACTGAGAACAAACGGTCATCGAGTAGGTTAAGATGACCTCAGCCCGAGTGTGTTTCCTGCTGTGAGTTCACTCGGAATGTTCCGGGCGGCGTGTCAAACGCGTTCCCATTGTGCGGCTGCCAGAGGGGAAAATGCCCATTGTCCGGGCTGGTGCCATTTTTATTTAAATTACAGCCCAGCTTTTGGAAAGTCTTGACGGTCATCGATGTGAAATAATGGGCAAAGAACTCCTGGAGAAAGACACATTGTTTTTATTAACAGAAAATAACCCATGGTCAGAAGGGCACATTTGGAGGCAGAAACTATAAAAGAGAAAAGCATTTCTATACAGGCGTTTTTCTAAGCACAACTACATTTTTTTTAGATTTTTTTTTTGTATAGTCAGTTTACAATGTTGTGTCAGTTTCTGGCCATACGAATACACACATATATTCCTTTTCAGATTCTTTTTCATCATAGGTTATTACAAGATATTGAATATAGTTCCCTGTGCTGTACAGAAACTTACTGTTTATCTATTTTATATGCAGTAGTTAGTATCTGCAAATCTTGAACTCCCAATTTATCCTTCCTCACCCTTTACCCTCTGGAACCACAGGTTTGTTTTCTATGTCTGTGAATCTGTTTCTGTTTCATAAACAAGTTCACTTGTGTCTTTTTTTTTTACATTCCACATGTGAGTGATCTCATATGACATTTTTCTTTCTCTTTCTGGCTGACTTCACTTAGAATGATGATCTCCACGTCCATCCATGTTGCTGCAAATGGTGTTATTTCATTCTTTTTTATGGCTGAGTAGTATTCCATTGTATAAATAGACCACTACTTCTTTATCCAGTCACCTGTTGATGGACATTTAGGCTGTTTCCATGTCTTGGCTATTGTAAATAGTGCTGCTGTGAACATTGGGGTGCAGGTGTTCTTTGAAGCAGGGTTCCTTCTGGATACATGCCCAGGAGTGGGAATGCTGGGTCATAGGGTAAGTCTATTTTCAGTTTTTTGAGGAATCTCCATACTGTTTTGCACAGTGGCTGCACCAAACTGCATTCCCACCAGCAGTGCAGGAGGGTTCCCCTTTTCTCCACAGCCTCTCCAGCATTTGTCATTTGTGGACTTTGAAGGATGGCCATTCTGACTGGTGTGAGGTGACACCTCATTGCAGTTTTGATTTGCACTTCTTGACAGTTAGTGATACGGAGCATCTTTGCATGTGTCTGTGGGCCGTCTGAATGTCTCCTTTGGCCCCACCAGTTCATTTACACTTGACTTCCCTTATTCTCCCAGGTGTGATTACCACAAGGCTCACATGTTGAAATTGGCAGTGTACATTCAGGTGGGTTCGACGGGTACCAAAGAAGAGAGTTAAGCAACCAAGGAAGGCTTATTGCCAACTTCTCCACACCAGCCGCATCTAAGCATCAAGGAAGGACACTGAGGTGTGTTACAGCCTTTACTCAAGATCAGTCCTGAGAGCAGGACTCCGTCTGGCTGCATCCCACAAGGGGAGGGGTCCACAGGAGGTTGGGACTCTGCCGTGGGGGTGCACGGAGCCACAGGCAGTGCGGGCGGGGCAGGGAGGACCCCTGTGAGTTGTGGGAGCATCCTGACATGGCACCGGGAGAGGGAGAGGGAGGCCCCCCAGGGACAGGTGACCGTGCAAGAGCAGTGTCCCCCAGACCACAGATGTGAGCCCCATTCACACTGGGGACGGAAGGACCGTTAGGAGTTGGAAGCAGAGAGGGAGGTGCCAGAGTGAGCCGGGCGGGGTCTCAGCGTGGGGACCTGCATAGACACGATGCCACGGCCACACGGGTGCCTGAGCCGAAGGTTACCCTCGCCTCCCGCTCCCCGATCTGAGCAGCCATGCTCTCCGACGTGGTGCGTCGCGTCCGGCTCACTAAGGACAGCAGCCCTGACCCCCCCGGGGCCTCAGCTGCCACATTGTGACCAGCCCCGCGGGGCACCCCCATGTCCCAGAGACACGGGTGACAGGAGAATCTCTGAGAAAAAGAGGACACTTTCTTCCATGAGCAGCTGGCGAGCGTGCACCTGGGGTGGCTGCCGGCGGCGAGAGTCACAGCTCCAGAAAAGTCCCTCCCCAGGAAGAGGACGGACCGCCCTGGCGGGGAGGGGCCCCCGGTGACATGGGAGACGGGTGTGGGGTGACGGGAGCGGGGGCGACGGTCCACCTCCGAGTGGACAGGGGTTAAGCCCACAAATCCAGGTGGCAGGAGGGCATGATGTCCCGGCAGGGGGAGTAAGTGCAACAGGGGGAAGTGTCTGCAAATAATAAGGGGGTGACCCTGCGTTCGTCCCAGAGCAGGGAGAGCTTTCACACTATCAAGATCCCTGCGTGTGTGCCCCACGCCCGGGTGCCTGGCAGCGCCTGCCCATCCCCTCCCTGCGTCTTAGCCGCCCGGGAGCTGGTCTGCTCTTTGCACGCAGCCCCAGGACGGCTGTGCCTGCTCACGGACGGGCGCGTGTATCTCTGTGGACAGAGTGAGCAAACGCACGGCCGGGCAGTCCGTCTTGAGCCCCTTCCTCTGCAGCACAGAGGCGGGAAGGCCTCGGGAACTAGACGTCTCCGTGGACTTTGCACGGGGGACGGTGGAGGTCTGGAAGGCAAGGGACCAGCCACCGGCCAATCAGAGAAGACAGAACCAAGGAGGCAACTCTCCTATGAGTGGTGGTGGGAAAAACAGAGACGCTTCTAGAGTCAGAAAATTCGCAGTCCCCTGAGATGAGACACAGCTCTGTCCAGCGGGCACCCACCACCGTGCACCTGCCCGAAATGCTCCGAGAAGCAGACCTGGGATGACACCAAAAAAAAAAAAACAATAACATGGAAAATTCACACAGAAACTCAAAGTGGATACACCTGTTTTTCTGATATTACACATGCATATACACACATAGATACATCCAAACACATACATATGCGCACACAGACATGCCCACACCCGCACGGACGTACACACACAAACATACATGCATGGTTTAGTCTACAGTTTGCCTTCAGTTCTTTTCAACTAAAGTGTAAGGTTAAAAACATAAAAATGTCAAGGCATATAGGTGTCACGGAGGAAAGGGACCCGAGTTTGGGGCTCCAGGTGAGAGGAGAAAAAAGTCAGATGGAGTGTCCAGCATAGGTGAGCGGCACCCCCAGCCTGCTGTACTGACTGTGCTCCGGTGAGGGTCGGGGTAATTGGTGCTCCTCGGAAATGAGCCAGGGACAGTCACAGTACCGTGTCTGCACCTTCAAGTCTCTGGCACCATCACACCCCCATCCTGTTTAACTCCATGTGGTAGCAGCTGTGACTCACAGGGCACCTGCTGCAGGGGCGGGACCAGCAGGACCTGATGGCGTCTCAGCTCGGCCACTTCATCACCTCGGAGCCAAGTTCCAACCTTCCCCTTAAGGAACATGCCTATGCTGTTGGTGGGAGTGTAGTTTGGTGCAGCCATTATGAAAAATAGTATGGAGATTCCTTAAAAAGCTAAAACTAGACCTACATGTGATCCAGCAATCCCACTCCTGGGCATATGTCCAGAGGGAACTCTAATTTGAAAAGACACCTGCACCCCAATGTTCACAGCAGCACTGTTTACAACAGCCAAGACATAGAAACAACCTAAATGTCCATCAACAGATGACTGGATAAAGAAGACGTGGTATATTTATACAATGAAATACTACTCAGTCATAAAAAATGACAGCATAATGCCATTTGCAGCAACACGGATGCTCCTGGAGAATGCCATTCTAAGTGAAGTCAGCCAGAAAGAGAAAGAAAAATACCATATGAGATCGCTCAGATGTGGAATCTAAAAAAGAAGACAAACGAACTTATTTACAAAATAGAAACAGACTCACAGACATAGAGAACACACTTATGGTTACCAAGGGGAAAAGGTGGGGAGGGATAAGGTGGGAGTTCGAGATTTGCAGATACTGACTACTGTGTATAAAACAGATAAGCAACAAGGTCCTACTTGGACAGGGAACATACTCAATACTTTGTAGTCACCTACAATTAAAAAGAATCTGAAAAGTGAACATATGGATGTTCACGTGTGACTGAAGCACTGTGCTGCGCACCAGAACCACAACACTGTAAACCGACTGTACTTCAATTTAAAAAATGTTCCCCCTAAATGGGGGCAGCGTCACGTATTTCATGTGCCTGTTTGAAAACCCAGGCAGTAGAACTTCCCTGTAAAATGTGACGATTTCGAGCCACCACTCAAGTGTGCATATCTGATGAGTCAGCATGTTTGGTGCATTTACGTATCAACACCGAGTTGGTTATTTTTATGCCGAAGCACAGAAAGCAAGATTTTGGGATAAAACATCAGCCTCTGGAAAGACTTATCTGGAGCAAGGCACAGGCCAGGGCGGAGACTGCGTTAGCATCAAACCCCCATTTCCCTGGGAAAGCCAGGCGCAGGCAGCCCGCGTTTGGGGAGGGGTGCCACACAGATAATTAGCGACGGGGCCCACGTCCCGCAGCCTCGGCCTGGCCTCTGCCCTTGACCACAGGGCCGCTGCTCCCTTGGCCTGACCCCCCCAGCTGTCTGCCTCCAGAAAGCCCCCGGGGGGGGCGGAGGCAGACACCGAAGGTCGGAGGAGCACATGAGAAAGTAAACACGGCGAGGTTCCCCCGGCTCGCAGGCGCCCCGCCAGGCCCTGGCGGCACGGATGTGCAGGGGCGTCCCTGGCTCTGGGAGCTCGTTACAAGGGAAGGAGGGGGCGTCTTCACCCAGGCTGCTCCCCTCCGATTCCTGTGAGAAACAGGCCCGACCATGTGCATCAAGGAGGGCGTCGCACCGTCTGAGAAGACGCGGTGTCACCGCACCATGAGGGCGTCTGCCTCCCCAGCCGCGCCAGGACGCGGGGCCGGGACGCCGACCCCCAGGACACGCGGGCCGGCTGCAGGCGGCCCGGGCTCTGGAGCCCAGGCAGGGGCAGCACCGAGAGTGAGACCCCCAGACCGGGACGCGGATGCCACCCCTTCCTCGCCACCTTGGCGTCCGGGAAGGGAGGCGTTTGGTCTTTGTTTTTACGGTGGACGTGCGTTACTCCCGGCCAGCGCGCCCTTCCCTGTAACAGCTAAAGCAGATGCTCAGTGTGGGTTTGACGGTCCTCAGACGGGCTGGTCTAGGCAGCGCCACGCTCAGGTGAACTCACGTGCGAGCCAGACCTCAGTACGTGAACGTCTCTCCTGTCGGCATGAACGTAGCTCAAGAGGCGAGGTGAGGGAACTGTAATCAATGTCGTGTCATAACCTGTAACGGGAAAAAATGTGAGAAAGAGGAAGTATAAAGATGTGTGTCTAAGCGAAACACTTTGCTGCGCACCTGAAACACTAAGTCAACGATACTTCAATGAAAAGAGAGAGAGACGGGGGAGAAATGGTCAGAAAGTGCGGGCAGGAGGGCTGCGGGCCACACGAAGGGACCGGACCTCTCGAGGGAGTGGGGACCGGGCCGAGGACCCCCCGTGGCTCCTGATCCACTGTGCCTGCGGCCGGAACGGCTCCTGGGAGATGCTCAGTGCCCTTTACAAACATGTGGGAAGGGGCTCACCTCGCATGGGGTTTCGAAATAGACTCGGAGACCAAGTAAGCTTGTCCCGGCTGCGCCCCCGAAGGATCGTTTACAATTCCCCAGGCTCAGCCTGTGTGCTTCCAGAAAGCCACAGCATCTTGGCTGAGCTCAGCCCGGACCAGCAGGAGCTCCGGGCCGAACAGTGAAGACACTTAACACGGGCTTTCATGGCAGAACCTCGACGAGGCTGGTTAGCAAGTGATTTGTTCGGCTTTTCGGACTGGCCCCAGGAAAGCACATAAAAATGCTAATTAGAGGCTAAAACAACGCGGAAAGTTCTTGAGACGTGGCGGAGGTGGTCGCCCTGCGGCGGCAAGACATGGCTCTGAGCCCTCCCGGGCCGCAGGCGCTACTGAAGGCAA